CCGAGCTCTCCACCTGTCAGATCCAACTCCCCCCCCACCCCCCTCCCGAGCTCTCCACCTGTCAGATCCAACTTCCCACCTGACTGACGGCTGCCTAGAGGCGGTCATTTCAAACTCACACGTTCCGAGTTAAACGCTGATGAACTTTCTCCGCAAAACACACACCATTCCCACGATCCCGTGAGGCCTGGCAACGCAGGGCCGCCCTGGGACCCGCTCCTGGAGTCCCCCCCTTCCTCCTCCCTTCTCCAGAGAAACGTCTCCTGCTCCGCCGTCCCGCTGCCCCTCCTCCACCTAAACCTCCTCCCGCAGCCCCTCCTCCCCGCTGCTTCCTGCCGCCACGAGAAACCCTGCCTGCAAGGCCCCATCCGTCCTCCCGCGGAGCTCAGCCTCACCCCCAGAGCCCCCCGCTTCCACACGGTGCTCTGAGCAGCACCCCCCGTGATTCGGGTTTAACGCCTGAGACCTCCTGCAAGCAGTGAAGGGATCGCTCTGCTCCCGGCCCCGACAGCTGGCCACGTGGCCTGTCTCTTGGGACAGGGACACGGAACGTGCCGGTCTTTAATCCAGCGCACCTGGCGGAGCCAGCGGCTCTACTGGAAAGTTCTGCCAGACCATGACCCGCTCTCTGTGACTTCTACCCAGAACTCACCCAGACCACCCGGCCTGCTCCTGGCCCGGTGAGGTCCCAGGTTCCGTTTCCCACCCCAACGCCAGCTCTTTGATCTGAAAGCACTGTGGAGTTTCAAAGCTCACATCATTCATCTGCAAACAGCCCTCTGAGGCAGGAAGTGTTCACTGTCACCCCCTCGCGCCCCCGTCTCTGTTTCCCATTGTTCCCGCACTAACTGCGCCCTTTCCTGGCTGGTCCACGGAAGGCCACACGGCAGCCCTCCTCCCAGGCCCTGTGTGTGATGGTCCCGGTGCTGGAGAGGGACTTCCTTTTATCGGGCCCGCCCCCAGGGCCCGGCTCCCATCCCACCGCCTCTCAACGTGGAGGCCCTGAGCGTGGGGGCTGGGGTTGGACGAACTTGGATTAAAACTCCAGCCCCGCCCTAGCCGGTCTGGCTCAGTGGATAGAGCATCGGCCTGCGGACTAAAAGGTCCCAGGTTCGATTCCGGTCAAGGCCATGTACCTTGGTGGCAAGCACATCCCCAGAGGTGGGGTGTGCAGGAAGCAGCTAATTGATGTTTCTCTCTCATCGATGTTTCTATCCCTCTACCCCTCTCCCTTCCTCTCTGTAAAAATCAGTAAAATATCTTTTTTTTTAAAAACACACACAAAAAAAACAACAACTCCAGCTCCACGAAGCAGTGCAACCTCAGGGAAAATTCCTCACCCTCTCTGCACCTCCATTTCCTCACGTGCGAAAGGGAGATGCCTGCCCGTCACAGGGAGCACTGAACGAGATGACAGTCAGAGCTTCGCCCTTGGTGGAGGCCCCACCAGTCAGCTACCACACCTCTGCTTTCGTCACCTCTGTCCTCATCCATCTTGACCTTGTGACGTGTTGAAACCCAGATGCACAGCCTAGAGCTTCTCACTACGGTGTCCCTTCGCCTGACTTCCTCAGACGGGCAGTGACTCCGTGCAGGTGGGTCTCCCTCAGCGGGAACGGCTCACTGAGCACACAGGGTTTTCTCCCCAGGAGACCGTGGGGCACACGGAGGCAGCGTTTCTGCACCTACTGCCTGCCCCCAGGGCCTGGGCCTCCCATCCTGGGTACACGTGACATGGAGTTCAACTGCCCGAGTGACCCCAGGAGAGTTCTGACCGAGCATCCGTGGCTAGCTAAACCTCCGTCCAGCCCGGACTGAACGGAGACTGGGCCGGGCTTGCTGTGACCGCAGATCCTCAGACATGGTCACCACGCACAAGCCGAGCCTTCTCAGCGGACGGACGCCGCCTGGTCTGCCAGGGGCCTGGTGCACGGGACACGTGCCTCGGAGCAGGGGTGTCTGGTGCAGCAGAAAGCAATGCATGCCTAGCCTGTGAGGATGAGGCCTGCCTTCGGTTATAGGGGTCCTCAAACTTTTTAAAGTGGGGGCCAGATCACGGTCCCTCAGAGAGCTGGAGGGCCGGACTATATGAACTACTAATCCCTACTGTAACACCTCGGCTGCGCTCACTGCCCAAAAAACCTGGCGGGCCGGATCAGACTCCTCTGCCGGCCGCATGTGGCCCGCGGGCCGTAGTTTGAAGACGCCTGGATGGTTCTGAGACCCGCAGAGTGAGCTTGGGAAGGCTCTGCAGGAACCGTCAGAGAGCACTATGGCTCTCGCCGTCACGGGCCCCAGGACACGGGAGGCCTTCCCCAGGGCTGCCTGCAGGACGATGCACGCAGGCTGAGATTACAAGGTGAAGCGCCTGCTTTCTGCTGAAGGAACAGCCTCCCTCTGAGGGACCAGACTTTCCTCACAAGAAGCCTTCACAGCGCACACCTGGCAGGGACGGACGCTGAGCCGCACGGCTGCACCTGACAGCAGACCTGTCGCTGCTCCCCCGGGCGGGTACGGCCGCGCCCCACCCAGGCCTCAGCCTTTCACAACCTGCTCTTCCTGGGAAGACACGGCCATCGCCGATGGGACTGCAGGTGTCCTGGACTTAGAACACCACGCGTCATCAACTCTGAGATGTACCTTTCCACATCCCTCTGATGAGATGTGCCTCGTCATCAATTATGCCAGGGTTTCATTGCAAGCTGTTCTTCTGGCCTAGAGACACATAAACGAGGATGCGTCTTCACCCCCATATTGGTTTTGGATAGTCGATGCAGTGTGGGGGGCACGTCTCATCGAAGTTAGTTGAAAAGGGAGCATCTGCTATTCTGTGATTATTTCTCCATTAACTGAGACTGTGAAGTGAAATCTGCATTCTAATGGAAAACCCCCACTCCCACCCACATGTTGTATCTATTTAAGCATCTAGTTGGTCAGCGAACACTCACGGGTGTGTTCAGCGATCAAATATACACCGATCGCCTGTCCTGTCCCGGGCACCGAGCTAGATGCTGTGAGAGCAGGAAGTCTTATCCATGAGTATAGCAACTTCTTCACACCCCCATATCTGTGGGGAACTTACACTTTTCTGACTAAACAAAGCTAATCAGAATCTAGGCCCTTAAAAACCCCAACTATGGGAACCTTGAAACAACTAATAGCTAGGGTTTTGTTTTTCAATTGCAAGGAAAAAATTATTTTTTTAAAAATGAGGTAGGGGCAACCTGTAAATTAACAAACAAGAGACATATGCAAAAATCACAACATGTGGGCCTTCTGTGAATCCTGATTTAGAAAAAACAGACGCACACCAATGAGAACATGTTGGAGATAGCTGGAAATCGAGCAGGGACTAGATAGTTGACGATACTGGGAATTGCTGTTCCTTTTTTTCAGAGTCATTCATGATATTGTGCCGTCTTCAAAGATGGTCTATCTTTTAAAGATACAGACGGACAGAGTCATGGAAGAAACCATAGCGTCTGGAATTTGTTTCAAAATATTGAGCTACACCATATGACATTGTTTTTTTGTAGGTCACAAATGACTGAAGAGCTGCAATTCCATATCAGATGTAAGGAAGTGGGTGGAGGAACGAATGCAACCCAATGGTTGTCAGCTGATTGGTGTTGAAATTGGGGTGATGGTGTGCCAGTCAATTCTACTCATGTGTCTCCTTCCTGTGTGCATAAGATGTATCTGCAATAAAAAGCTAAAACAAAACTGGTCCTTAACACTGTGCTATATTTAAAATAAGGCAGAGGCTAAAAATACTGAAAGTGAAACTGGAGGTATGGCTATTAAAATACTCTGCCTAAAATATTCTTTTCCGTTGTGCAGGTAAGTGTGGCTGCAACACTAAATACTTAAGTTTTCCCTCCAACGCTTAACTACCTTCACACGTGTAACTTATATCTGAAGTCGATTTTTCAATCTCTTTTCCTCCTAGTGTGACTAAACCGGCTTATTTTTAAACAGTGCAGTGTCTGGACAGTTTGTTTTCCTTCAACAGTAATTCTAGGTTAGAAATCAGGATCCTCGGCATCTCCTTTACGTTCAGTGCTAACTGACGGTGTGACCTTGGCCAGGTGCCCCACAGCCTCTGGGGTCCACGTCACGCCGCCCTCTCAAGCCCCAGCTTCCTCTGCAAACAGAGTGCAGCGATCCAGGGGGTCTCCCCTCTGCTGGCCCAGGGGCTGGGCACAGCGCTGCTCTCTGCCCAGCGGCTGAAGCTCATGCTCCGCTTTGCACAGCATTCCTGACTACCCCCTGGCTAGCTACAGGAGCTCCCCAATCTACACACACAGATTCCCCACTGCAGGGGTTTCAGATGCACAGCCTACCAGAACCCCACACAGACACAGCCCTGCGCGAAACCGCAGGGGAGGGTGAGAGCTGGCTGCAAAGGGTGCAGGCCAGAGCTACTGCGGTCCCTACTAACCCAGCGATTGATCTCACCCCTGGGCCCCCAGCTAACGGCCCTCTGTGGAATACATCTATAAAATATGGGTGATGCGGTTAATGCAAGTATATAATATTTAATATATGTACCTTCCAGTATATGTGTTAGCCTGAAAATGTCCTTCCCGGTTATCAGTTAGGAGCTGGCTGCTGCGGCTCAGCTGGTACTAGGTAACCAGCTGGCGACGGGGTGGGGACCAGAGGGAGGCCTGAGACTGGCCAGCTCCATGCGAGTCGGTGACCTCACTCACAGATTTCTCAGTGAGGCTGCATGAAGCAGGGGTATGTGTGCCCGAGTCTACAAGGGAGACCAAGCCAAGAGGAGACGTGGAAAGCACGTAGAACGAACACACACACACACACACACACACACACACGCACACGCACACGCACACACGCACACACGCACACGGTCAAAGAACAAAGATCAAGTACGTCACAGAGGACCTGTCACTGGTGTTCATGAGCCAGAACCAGAACCGTTAATACGGTCACAACGCTAGCCCTCTCCCCAAGCAGTCCGTGATATAATAGATTACCTTGATGTGCTTGACTCTGTCTTCCTTTTCTGTCTTTGGTTTCTTTCCTGTGGCGACAGAAAACAGTTCTGGATCAATGCATGAGGAACACACAGAGAAACAGCTCCCCTCAATGAAACGCTGTCTAAAACTCTCCTAGCAGCCGTGCGTGCGTTCACCTGCACACGCATGAACCTGTACGCGCGTGAACCTGTACACGGCCAGAATTCCAAATGCTTTTCTGCCTTTGGTGACCCGAGAGTCCTTCCCCGACAGGGAAGGGCGGGATTTCCCTCCACGGTGCGGACTACAGACGTGGAAACAAGGAAATCCTAAAGTTGTCCTCTACACTGAGAGATCTCAGCATTGGCCAGTCTACCTTTCTTAGAAGGCCTCTCGGATAAGGGCAACATCCGGTAGACTCTGAAGGCGTTGTTTCCTTTCTTTATACTTTTATCCTTGACTTCTTCGATGTCAGGCAAGGAGTTCATGGCACATCGAAAATTCGCCTTCCATGTCTTCGGATCGGGCTTATCAACTCCGGGTTGATGCTTTCCTAACAAAAGAGCCAGGAGAATGAGGGTTAAGGAAGAGAGAGGGAGAGATACTCACACGGTAACCGTTTCTGGAAACACGGGACTGCGAGCCACCAAGGAGCACAGAGAACCGACCCTCTGAGTCCCAGGCCCTGCCGACAGTGACCAGTGTCCTGGTTTGCCCGGGACTGGGGTGGTTCTTGGGATGCAGGGAATTTTTGTTTTAAAATCTGGACAGTTCCGGGCCAGTTGGTACAAGCTGGTCACCCTGACTTTACCAAACAGCTTGAGAAAAAATAGTAATGGTTGAAGGATGGGGATTCCGTGTGAGTAACACGGAAGGCTGGGAGGCCAATGAGCACAGGTACCCGGAGTGTCTCTTTTTCATCTGACTGTCAGAGAGTAGAAGTCCCTTCCTGTAAACAGCCCCCTACCTAAATTCTGCTGTAAATAAATACATTCTTGACTACCTTATAGGGAGGTAAACCCACCCAAGTTTATAGCTGCAGAACAAATACATTCTTTATGACTCTGTTATACATGTTGGGAGCGAAACCAGAATTCTACATTAGAGGAAACACAAGTGCTGAGTTTCTGTGGGATGGGCAGAGCCTTACTTCCAAGAAGTTTGTGGTCCCCCCACTCCTCAGGTCTCCTTCCCTCCGCCCCACCTCCCGCCACGTGTCCTGGATGCGCCTGGGGGCAAGCCACAGGTGTTTCAGAGCCTTCTTTATAAGCCCATCATCCAGGAGATGTTATATGTGTAGAAAAACAAACAATGTGGTATAACTGAAACCTGCTAAGAGAGCAGACCTTACACGTGCCCAGTAAAATAACCCCAATAATTAACAGGTACGCGTGGGAGGAAGTGACGGTGTGCATTAACTCGATGGGGGCATCCTTTCACGAGGATCATACACTATATCAGATCGTCACTTTCAATGTCTTGCAATCTTATTGGTCAATCATGACACCACAGTTAAGAGAAAAAAGCCGGCATGCACAGCACACAGTGTCCCCGCCCCACCCCCGCCTGCGGGCCGCGGGCAGACACCTGTGTGGATCGCCCAGTTCCTGAAGAGGGGCGCGTCCTTCTCCACGTCCCAGCCGTGTCTCGCTGCGTGCATCCAGGGGATCTGGAAGATCTTCTTTTCCTGGAAGGAGAGGCGAGTGAGAGCGGAGAACGGCAGCCGCGGGTCTCAGGCCCCCGCCGAGGAGGCGGCTTAGGTCCCAGCCGGTCAGGTTCCCCGCCGAGCATCCACTATCGCACCTACTGCACACCAACCCACTTCCCCAGGTCCAACCGGGCAGCCCGCCGGTGAGGCCGGGAGCCAGGCAGGCCAGCAGAGCAGGAATGCGACCGGTGCCAAGGTCACAGGCACCACCCGGGAGATGCCGTGTGCCTAGCCTGTGCCGCTTCTTTCAAGAACCACAGACAACTGGCCTCTGACGGAAACGCCTCGTCCTTCTTTTATTCGTACCTCGCATTCCCATCATTTGGTCAGGAGGAGCCCCAGCTGCCCCAGGAAATTAAAAATGAGGCAGCTCTCCGAGCGACCCCACTGGTGCTGGGAAAGGGAAGTCAGTGGACGAGGCCACTGTCACGGGACCCAGTGTCTCGATGGGCTGGGCCGCAGCAGACACAGGGGATCCTGCCTGCTGCTCAGCCTGCGTCTGCGCCCTGCACGGGCCGGCCAGAGCGTCCAGATGCCTCGATGACCACAGCGGACACTCCTTTCTTGGAGCGAAGTCCCTCCCTAAGATTCTTCTATCGGACCCTTCCCACCTCTCTTACAGCCTGAAAGACAACTCAAAATCGTTTACGCCACCCCTGGCAAACACGACTAGAAACAAGTGTTTTTGAAACAGTCACACTCATAGTAAAACCACACATGTAACCTGGTTCAACGGGCAGCACCAGTGGCCTCCCAGGTCCCCTGGCACCTTACATATGACGACACATGCTCTCATGGTCTCGCTTCTGATTTCTGCAACAACCTAATGAGCTACATGTGTGTTATTGCTTCCGATTCTCAGTTGAAGGAGCTGAGGAATGGAAGTAAATTATTTAGCCAAGGAACTTAGGACAATAAGTGTCTAAATGCCCATCTTCAGTCGCATCACAGCATCCCTCACCTCTGGTACTCAGATGTATGAGATTTCTAGTTTCACAGGAGAACCTGCTGACTTGGATCCTATGGACACTGAATTGCATTTAATATAATTTTATTGATTTCAGAGAGGAAGAGAGAGGGAGGATGACATAGAAACATCAATGACGAGAGAGAATCATTGATCAGCTGCCTCCTGCATGCCCCCTCCTGGGGATGGAGCCCACAACATGGGCATGCGCCCTGGCCAGGAATCGAACCGTGACCTCCTGGTTCATAGGTCGACGCTCAACCACTGAGCCACACCAGCCAGGCAGGAAAAATGCCTGGAAAATTTTTAAGTTCTTAGGTCAGTTTGATTGTTTCCAGGTCTGAGGTCTCCACAGGACACACAGGCAGGAAAGTGCTGGTAGGGATCTTCCACCATTTCACAGTGAAAACAGAAAGGGTCCTGCCGACTCGAAAGGGCTCGGTGCCTGAGCACAGAACCAACTGCACAGCCTGAACCAGAGGATTCCAGGACATTTGAGAGTTCCCCAAAAGCTGTTCACGGGGGAAATCCTGCTGTGTTTACAACTCAGTGAGTAAAGGAGAACCGAAAGTGGGAGATTTTCGTTAACCCGTTCTGTTCGCTGTGTCTTCACCGAGACTGCGGTGTCTCACGTCAGCCACCTCCCGAAGGGCCGGGCCGGAGCGGCTGAGCGGCCCTGGATCGCTCCATGCGGACGAAAACCCCAAAGGAAGTCACCTAACGCAGGCTCGACGTTCACACAAAAAGGAACCAACTTCGAGGACAGAAGGCTTCCTCAAGAGCCAACCAGAATCTAAAGTCTGTGCTTCCAGACAGGGGCCCTGCAGGAACTGGCTGTTGCTTTTTTTTTTTTTTTTTTTTTTCCCTACGTCAAACGCATTCTGTGGGACACAATCTGAAATCCATCTCGTAAGACACAGAACTGATTCTCACAAGTGGATCTTTTCAAGCATCTGCCTGCGTGCAGGAAATTGTGTACACACACACAGACATACACACCCACACATCCACACGCACGCGCGCGCGCGCGCACACGCACACACACACACACACACACAGCTACACAGCTATACTGTCTCCCAGAACAGAGGTCCGAAAGGTTGGCGATCTCTGTCCCAGAAACTGGGCCCAAAGCATGAAGCTACCAAAGCAACGACTGAACTGAGCAATCCTCCACCACAGAGCCTCATGAAATGGGCCCAGGGCCCAAAGAGACCAAAGAAGTGGCCAATAAGCACATGAAGAATGACTCGACACCACCCCTCCTCGGGGACCTGCCAATTGGAACAACGAGATGCCACTTCACAGCCACGAGGATGCCAGAGCAAACACACAACAGCATCCTAAGGGCTGGTAACGAAGTGAAGGAACTGGAATGGCCACACAGGCTGGTGGGAGGGGAACTGGGGCGGCTGCTGCGGAACACACATTGGCTGTTCCTCAAAGTGGTCAACGGAGTCACCACGTGGCCCCGTGACTCCGCTCCCGGACGCATCCCCGAAGAATTACAAATAGGTGATCAAGCAAATGTGCAAGTTCACAGCTGCAAGTTCATACGTGCAAGTTCATTGCTGAGCTACTCACAACAGCGGAAAGGCAGCAGCAACCCCCCTGTCCATCAACGGATGGACGGGTAAGAAAACGGCGCATGTGCACACACTGCATAACCGGGAGCCTTCTTCATCCCCGGAAGGAAAGCAGTGCTGACACACACGCATGGCAACACAGGGGGACCTGGCAAACACTGTGCTAAGTGAAAGAAGCCATGCATACATATGAGCCTAACCAGTGGTCAAGGACAATGGGGGGGGGGGGGGGATGAGTGGGGAGGAGTGGGAGATGGGAATGGGGGGATGAGAACAAATAGGTGATACCTTAACCAATAAAGAAAAAAAAATTTTTTTAAAGATTAGAACTCAAAAAAGAAAAAGAAAAAAGAAAGAAGCCAGACACCAATGCCACATATTGCATGAACCAGGCAAATCCACATACACAGAAAGCACATCCGTGGTTGCCATGAGCTGGGGAAGGGCATGGGAGTGGTCACGTGAAAAGTAAGCATTGTGTTTCCTTTTCAGGTGATGGGAAAGTTTGGAATTAGACACTGGCGATGGTTGCATAATATTGTGAATGTACTTAATGCCACTTTTAAATGATAAATTAAAAAAAACACTTTAAATTGATAAATTAAAGAACAACCTCATGGGCCTGGTCAGTGGGGCTCAGTGGTTGAGTGTTGACCTTTAAACCAGGAGGTCACTGTTCGGTTCTCAGCCAGGGCACATGCCCGGGTCCTGGGCTTGATCCCCTATAGGAGGCGTGCAGGAGGCAGCTGAACCATTATTCTCTCTCATCACTGATGTCTCTATCTCTCCCTCCCCCTTCCTCTCTGAAATCAGTAATAAATAAATAATTCCTACATGGAACTTTTAAATAAGCCACTAATAAATGCATCACACATCTCTTTTTTCAAAAAGACCATGTTGAAAGGTAAAGGTGAAATTCATTTTAAAACTGGAAGAGATTCTGACCAATAACCATCTGGTCATAGATCCCTGTGTTCTATGGGACAGGGGTGGCACTGGGCTGCATCTGTGCAGACCGTGACATCAGCATGCGCTTCAGTGGCCCTGAGTGCCCAGCCCGCACAGGTGGTGGGCGCTCACACCGTGTACGGAAGGACTGGGAGGACCAGAGCCCACCCGTGTCTACCTCTGAGGGCAGGAGAGAGGCGCACTGCTTGAGTTGGGAAGCACATTTAAGATGACCTCGCGCAATGCAGAACCATCAGGCCTCGACCTCACGTGGAAACCAGTTCTCTCATCTCCCTCTGCCTCTCCTTTCCCCCAATGTTTATATAAGACGTTCTTGTTTCCTTTGCTATTTTTGTTTGAACTCCTTACCTGTTCCGAGGTAGCCTGACAGTTACACAAGCACAAGCCTGCTCTCAGGGAAGAGCAGGGAAAAGTATGGACTCCCCGCTGGGTCCAGGCAGACCTCCAGGATGAAACACCAACATCGAGAGCCCGAGTGGGCATGACGGGAGCTGCTAAGAAAGAGTGGGCCTGGCTGCGACTGCCTTCTCCTTCCCTCTAGAACTGGCCCAGGGAACCACCTGGAACGACCCAGAACCGAGCTGGCCCCTCAACAAGCCAATGGCAAGAGGGCAACCAAGGAGGGCACACTGTCCACAACCAAGAGGGACTTCGAGTCACACAACCAAACACAACACGGGGACATCTTTTGGATTCTGATTGAACAAATCGACTGTAAAAAGATATTTTGGGAGTACTCATGGCATGATACTAAAAACTTATGGTTAATTTTCCTCATGGACAGCAGTATTATGAAGACATGAGAAAATGTTAAGTCTTATAGGTGTACACTGTCAGGGAGTTGCTCTGTAAAACCACACACACATAAGCATACACACACACACACACACACACACACACACACACAGATAACACAAAACGTTGGTAATTGTTAAATGGAGATGTGCATTACTAAATCTAGATGGAAATGCACTACACTATTCTGTCCAGTCCTTGGGCCATTCAAATATACTATCTGAGTTTGCAAAGACGCGTAATAAAAAGTTACTGGCCCCAGACAAGGCCCCATTCAGGTCACATGAAATGGTCACATGGTTTCCTTAAGTCATTCCAATTTACTTCATACCCCATCTTGTTTCTAAAACAACTCACTTAAACAAACACATTCAAATACAATACCATTAGATTAAAAATTAGCAAAAAAAAAAAAAAAAAAAAAAAAAGTGAATGAGAGAAAAGGAACAAAAAATGTAAGATCTGAGAGGTATCTAAAACGATCAAATGAGGCCAGGAGTGATAGTATTAGGATAGTTTAAAACAACAATACTGCAATACCTGTACACCTGTTAGAAGTGGCCCAATTGGGTTCTCCACTCTTGGCACGTGATATAGAGCTAAAGACTGACAGGCTAAATGAGTCAGTGTGTCCTTAAGATTAAAGACGAGGCGGGAGGTAGAGGAGGACAAAGAAACTTGCTCAGAAGAACTGCAATATCCCTGGTAGTGGGAGAGAAACCTCCCTCAGGCCCTCTCAAAGAAGGCATCTATATATATAAAAAGCCAGCGACTAGAATGCCGGAATGACCAGAACAACCAGAACAACCGGTTGCTATGATACCCACTGTGGCCAGCCAACCTGCCCGATCAGGGGCAGGGCAGGCCAGCAAGCCTCCCATGTCCCTTCCCCTCCAGCTGGCCCTGCCCCAGGTCAACCCCCACCCCCACCCCAATCCGGGGGATAAGCAGGCCAGCCAACCTCCCACGTCCTCCCTGCCCCAGCTGGCCCACCCCAATCAGCCTCCACACCCCAATCAGGGGTGGGGCCGACCAGCCAAGCTCCCATGTCCCCTCCCCACTGCTGGCCTGGCCCAGATCAACCACCATCGAGGCAGGCAGGCTGAGCCCTACCTGTGCACGAATTCGTGCACCAGGCCTCTAGTAATCTATTATACTTAGTTGCTTTTCTGAATTTTAACTATATAATTTCAGGTGTTTCTTATCTTTTACAGATACTGTCTTCCTGATTCACCCCTACCAGTTAGGATCCATGAAATGGAGAGTTTGAGAAGGATCAATAAGAAGTGTTTACGTATATGGGTGAGGAGTGTAAATGGTAGAATGCTTACTTGTTAGGACAGGTTGGCACACAAACAGAGTTTCACTACAAAGAGACGTCGTTTTAAACCTCTAGGCTGCACACCTGAAACTAATATAATGTCGAATGTAATTGAAAAATTAAAAAAAAGAGAAATGATAAAATAAAAAAAAAACAGTATAAGAGAAGACTTTTTTAAAAGACAAAAACCAAAGTTCTCTTCACATAGAAAATACTGGACACCAATGAATACTCCCCATTCCCCACATGACACCCTCGAGCCTCCCATCCTCTGGCCCGGAGAGCCAGGAGGAGCAGGCAGTCTGAGGGAGGAGGCCCCGCAAGCACAGAGAGAGGCCACCGCCAGCGGTCGCCGGAATGCCAGCGCCAGCCGTCACCGCAAGGCGAGGGGGGCCACCGTCTGAGACGAGGACACAGACTGTCACACAGCCACTTGATGTTTTTATGGTCAATTTCGCTCGGTTGGTTCTTACAATTAACAAGCATAAGATTGTGAACACAAAGAACAATTTTACTTTCAGAGGTCCACATGGACCTGCTTTAGTAAGGATCAGGCACACACTCGCACATACGTACACTCATGTGCACACACATGCACTCACACACACGCACATTCACACAGAGAGACAGACATACATACTCATAGACATACACACATGTGCACATATATACACCCACGCGCTCGCATACATGCATGCACACTCACACACACTGGCGCACTCACCTTGTTCAGCCACTTCAGCCCTGGTATCGTGTTCGAGTTGATCTGTTCCTCCAGCCACGGGCGCATGCGCATCCTCTCCACCGGCATGGTGCCCGTCTGCGGAGAGACAATCCACATGAGGCGCTGGTGCTAATGACTATCTTGTCCATGCCAGCCTGACCCCCTTCTGCTGTCCCCTTCCTCGTAATCCCATAACCTGTGTCCGAGGCCCGGAAAGGGAGGCATATTCAGGGGCTCCACCCTCAAGCCACTGGCCCCTGTTCGTGTAGCTATGTGGTTCCAGAGGGGCTGTCTCCGTGGGGCAGTGCTGCTGGCCAAGCAGGCTCTCAGCTGAGAGGCTCCCACAGAAACTCAGCCACCCAGAGAGCCCAACACCTGAGTGACCCCACCTAAGGCTAGGTCTCGCCCCCTCCCAGCCAGGTTACCAGCACACACCAGCATTCAGAGCGCCAGTACTGTACACCTGTGGGTATCATCCTCCCAGGACCAACAGGGACGGTGCAAAACCGTTGTTGTGGGAAAGACATTACAACCAATTGATTCCTTTGGGATGTTAGGGCTACAGAAATGCTCTGAACCCCAACACTGCCACTTGAAAGCTCTAAAGGGATCAGTTCACTGGGTCCAAGGTCCCTCCTGACAGATCCCAGCTCCCCTCAGCGCTCGCAGCGCCTTGCTCTGGCTCAGCCTTGCTTTCTGTGAACGTGGGCACTCACTCACTCCCACAGAGATCCTCTTCACTGCCCCCTCCCCTTCCTGACACCATCCGTCCTCTCCTCCAGCTGGCCTTCCCTCTGAAAGCTGTCCGGTGGCTCAACACCTTTCCTCTGCCCGCTCACACAGTGCTCTTCCCTCCTGGATGCCCTGGAGGCAGCTTTCCCATGCCCATCAACATACAGCCAAAGTAGAATCACTAACATTGCATTGTTACCCACTCAGTCATCCTATTTACATAATAATTTCAATTTAGTGCGGATTCAAAAGCCAAGATGATGCCAGGTCAAGCCTCCATACTATAGGACTGGGGGACAGTGTGACATAACCCTCTTTCCACCCTTAGCTGTCTTTCTTTTACCCATTCCCTCTCCATTCAGATAAACTTGGGCTGAGATGATCAAAGCCTCATTAACTCCCTCTTCCAGCTCCCAAAGGATGTCCTCCCTCCTGGATGCCCTGCCTCCAGCTCTGCCCGAGTGCTAGCATCTTTGTGTGACCCGGATAGAGCCTAATCAATTCTAGAACGGAATTCTAGAGCTCGTCTCTCCCAGGTACATCTTTCCCAGTTCGGATGCACTTAAGGCTGCAGACGCCTCCTACTTTCCCAGACCATGCCCTCTCTCCTCTTTTCCGGACCTTGCCAACCCTCAGCCTCTCTCCAAGACCCAGCTCCCACCCTCCTTTCTCCACGGGCCTTGCCCGTCCACACCAGCCTAGAGGAATATCTCTTCCTGCGACTTCCACACTGCTCACTGGTCTTACACACTCACTTGAAAATCAAGCATGGCTTTAGGAAAGCTATTGTAAGCTGTCTTTATTCTTACCCAACTCTATGAACTTCCCACTGTGTGCACGCTTCCTTCCCAACCGAACGGTAAGGCCTCTGAGAGTAGGAACTCCACCTTTTAGGACCCTACAAAGCCCTCCACCCCGGAGACCTTCAATACAAGACCCAGGCCAGTTAAGATCAGCCTAGCTGGGTGGCATTGCACACGGGCTCCATCCACTCCTCTGGTCACCACCCTTTGAGACGAGGGAAAGGAACCTCAAGGACAGTCCAGAAGGACGTGCAACGGCCACAAGGAGCCCCAAATACAGCTGCTCTCCGTGGTTCTCAAGTCCTTCCTGTCAGTCACCTATCCACCTGTTCACAGAGCACTCACCGAGAAGGATATTCCAGCAGCAGGAAAGGTAAGACATTCCTACCTAACAGAAGACCGGGAAGCAGAGACTGTCACACCACACAGAGCCCTGTTTGCAGAATGAGGAGGAGCTACAGGGGAGCACTGGGAGGAGATGTCCACGGAAGACCCTCCTGGGCGCCTGGCCATTGGGAGGGCTCTGCCCAACCGGGGGAGGAGCGCCAACCCGGTCTCAAGATCTGGGGGTGCAGAGAGGGGGCAGCTGGGTCCAGAGCAGTACCGGGAGTAAAGGGAGGAGCACCCTGAGGAGTAGCTACAGTCATCACAAGCTTTTCAGAGGGGACAACGTGACAAGCAGAACTGCTTCGGACCATGCCGTCCTGGTGTATCCAAACTTAGCAATGCGGAAAATGACAGGGATGTGAAAACGGCCCTGCTTCCGCTCCATCGTTATAATCATATGCTATGTCCTTCCCTCCTTTCCCCTCCGCCACAAATATCCATTTAGGGGGGAAGATGGTCACCTGAAATGTTTCAAAAAGCTTTCTGACTTTGAAACAAAAGCTTCCATGAGGAGGTCCAGTCAGCCTCGTTATTTGCGGATTGCATATTTGCAAAGTCGTCTACTCACTAAAATGTATGTGTAACGAACGCCCAGATCAAGATGGCATTCTGCAGAGGTATGGAAGGGGAGTGAACTGTTTATTCTTGGGGAAAAAGGGAGAGGGGGATGTGGGAAGAGACTGAACATAAACTGTGCACCTATGGATGAGGACAATGGGGGGTGGGGAAAGGGCAGAGGGTGGGGTGAGAAGGGGGGGAAAGGAACATTTGTAATAATATGAACAATAAAAATTTATTAAAAAAAAAAAAAAGATGGCATTCTGCCTCATTCCCGCTCACTCTGTAAACGAGTGTCCTTCTCGCTGCCTATTTCGTGCAGCGTTTCTCTGCTCTGCATTGGCGGTTTTACTGTTTGAAACAGCCGGCAGGGATGACGTGTGGAGCAAGTGTGTGCCTCTCAGGCCCGAGTCAGTGTTGTTGGCTGCAAGTTCAATGTCAGGGAACCAACCGTGGTTAAATGAGGAGCCTTCACACAGACGCACACCCAGAACATGGCTGCTGATTGCCGATTGCAAATGCTGTGATCAGAGCCTCACGGGAACCGAAGGTCCTTGCAGAAGGAGGGGAATTTGGACGAGACACACACGGAGAGGGCCACGTGAGCACACAGACGGCGGGAAGGGGGCCAGCGAGGGCAGAGGCTGGAGAGCCGCTTGAAAGGTAAGGAAGGGAAGAGAGCACCGTCGGAGAGAGCACTGCCCTATAAGCACGTTCCTCTTACTGACCGGATCTGGACTTCTGTCCTCCAAAGCTGTGAAGGGAAAACTGTCCCCCTGGGCCGCCGATTGCGGTACTGTGTGAAGGCTGCCCGAGGACACAACGCAGAGGCAGGCTGACTAAGGTGCAGGGGCCCACCCTAGGCCGCAGGTGAAGGCGCCCCGAGGTCGTGAGAAGGAAGGGGAGACTCTCGAAGACCCAGGCAGGAGGCCCAGCAGCCAGAAGACAATCAGGAACAGGAAAGATGCCAGAGGCAGGCTGACCCTGCAGGCCTGGGAGAGCCACTCCTAGGGTGCTGCCCGTCTTCCCACGGCTGCAGAGGAACTGGAGACTCAGGTGGGTCTACAGTCAGCTTGATTAACAGTGAAGGTGAGAGCCGATGACGAAATCCAGAGCAGTGCTTTACCCTCTCTCCTGTGCAGATGGATCTCCGTTCGCTAAGTCCAGGTAAGGTCTCTGACGAACAAGCCCCAGGTCCTCGGCCCACACTGAGGCTGTGGATGAGCTCGTACGTTTACAAGTCACCGGCTCTTCTGTGACTTCCTACGAAGTCTGGTCATTCTGGCAAACTAGCCCCACCAAACACAGTGCCAAACGCAGCTGCTTCATCTCTGTGTTGGCCCAAGCCTTAGTGCATACTAAGTCTTTCTTTTTCTTTTCTTTTTTTTAATATATTTTATTGATTTTTTACAGAGAGGAAAGGAGAGGGATAGAGAGCTAGAAACATCGATGAGAAACATCAATCAGCTGCCTCCTGCACACCCCCTACCAGGGATGTGCCCGCAACCAAGGTACATGCCCTTGACCAGAATGGAACCTGGGACCCTTCAATCCACAGGCTGATGCTCTATCCACTGAGCCAAACCGGTTTCGGCCATACTAAGCCTTTCTACCCAGGATGCAACTCAGTCAAACTTGGAAGCTTATCGCTCATCAAAATAGGACAGAAATCACACGTGTAAAGTTTTTCCTACATCTTTAATCATGACTGTCATTAAGTACAAGAGGGTTTTTAGGGAAAGCAAAGACAGCAAGTGTCTCACCAGAAAGGGAAACTGCTATGAAGAGCTCACTTATTTCAGGTTCATTTTTTTCTTATTCTCAGAGAATCATTTTATTGACTTGCTTACTATCAGCCATCTTCTGTATAACCACAGGACAAGCTGATCATCCCACAGAACAACATTGAACATGTCAATGACTCTCAGAGTATAACCGCTGATATTTTCTCCAAGTCTTCATACCTACAGTGATTAATAAAGCAACTTCCAGGGATTGTCATCTCGAGCTGTGGTCCACATGAGTGTGAATTATTAACACCAAGTAACCAAAGTGACTTATATATGACCATGTGGTGTTTTGTTTAACAGCCGGGACATCCCTGCTGATACACAATGAAAAGCCAACCGATTTACACGAAGGCACTTCCTCTTTTTTACTCATTTTATAGCCAGGCCCCACCTCCCACCCTGGACAGGTAACGGATGACTTGGTGTTGGCACTTGACACAAATGAGAAAGAGCGCATTCGACACAGATCCCTCGTGACTCTACGAATTTGAGCACGCGCTCTTCATTCTGTGAAAGAAAGCGAAGGTGGAGTTCTACAATGAGCCTGACATTATAAACTCATCAAGTAGTTTGCACCAGGAATATATCCTATTTCCGGAGACTAAGAGACTGGGGAGACAGTCCTGGGGGGCAGGAGACCGAGTACTGAGCATACCGAGGAAAGAGGCTCGCGTGGCCTGTATTTCCTCGCTTCCATCAATGAGATTCCAACTGATTGACAGGTCAGTCTTCTTTCTACCAGGCAAGGTTCCCACGGGCACCAATACCCCAGCCACATGAATCTTGAATCAAGCTAAAGAAGGTATGGAACTGGTAGAAAAGGCCC